AGATGGGCTGTGACGAGACAGCCTTTGCACGGGTTTTATACACAAGCTGGTCGTTGTACAAGATCGTGCAATAGCTCGTCGGCAGATCTCCACCAGTCTCTTCAGTGGCCTCGCCGTAAGGTTTCGCTGGTTCAAATTCACGACCTTTGCGTGAGCCACTCGTTCCCTTGATATTGTCGAGTTCAAGGTTGACAATCTGGTGAACAACGATGCTGCAGATACCACTCGGCCAAAGTGGGTCAGGTGGAGTGTGCATAACTGCGTCATCTTCTGCCGTGTTCGTAACGCCCTTGTCATCTTGCAACTTGGGGTCTATAGACATGAATCAGTAAAGCTTGTTCGAAGGAACACATGGATTGCATACCGTTCTTGAGTTCATCAGGCAGGGCTCGGTTCTTGCCGTCAGTCCTGAGGGCAGGCCGGAATTGAGGTTTGCCAAAGTATCCAACCTCCCAGTGCAGCTCTCCAGGCATCTCGCTTCCAGCATCCATACCAGAAAGCTTAGACACCTGAGGATACATCTTGCCGGGGTGTTGAATCATCTTCTGCATCGAAAGCTCAACCTTACCCACGATATCATCGGCAGTGTGTCTATCCAATCGTTAATAACTCTCATTGAGAGGGGTCAAAATGTTGCACTGGGTGTTGCTAACCTATCAGAGTCCCAAAGCTCAACACTAAGATTCTCGTCCGCCTTGATAAGTTCCGGAGTAACGAGCAGCGCAGCAGTCTCCTCCCAAATAGGGTTCAAGTCGTCGGTAATGACACGAGTGCAGTACATCGGCTTTCCGTATTTGCTAAAGGCCAGAGTGATATATGGATCGCTGCCTCCGTGAGCCGAGCCACGACGATCCTGCTTGCTGAGACCGACAGCGCGATGGATACGGATCCAGAGAACGCCGAGAGCTTCCGAGTCTTTCTGAACGTCGTCGCCTTGAAGGATGGCGCGCATGTCGATTGACATGGATTTCGGTGCGACGTACACTAGCAATATTAGCACGGATTCGTAAAGACTACATATAGGGTACACATACTGCTCGCAGCGGCCTTGATAGCATAATTAACGAAGTTGCTAATCAGCGGAAGATTTAAAAGATTAGGCCCCTTCTCAAACATAGGAATACATCCAGCCTCCACCATCGGTGCACCCATGAGAGTGAAAGTCAGATTCTTCAAGAACGGCGCCTCGGGCGTCATGTTCATCCGCAGTCGAACGGTTCCGACCAGGCCCTGGAGTTCGACAAAGATGGGGAGAGGGACACCGAAGAGACCCTTGATGCCGAGATAAAAGACCAATTGCATGTGCATGTTGCGTGCCTTGTCCGATGCGCGCTTTCCACTGGGCTTAGCGTGGTAGGCGAAGGAAACTTCTAGGTTGTAAAAGTCGCCTCCTTCTTCGTCTGCGGCGGCTTCTTGAGGGTCCTTGGTCTTCTTGTTTTCCTCGTGGATAGAATCTTTCAGCTCCGTCATATGGCTATCGGGTAGAGCTCGCAAACTGAGGATTCGGAGAGGGTTGCTTCCTTGGTTGATTTCGGCCACACGGACGTTCTCGATGATGCCAGGTACAGAGGCCTGCATGACGTCTTCCAATGTGTCGGCCACGCCTTGGAACATGTCGGGGTTGATTAGACCCCAGATGATACCCAAAAGAGTGTTCATCCATTCGACAGATTCGGGGAGGAGATTTGCAGTAGCCTGCATATGTGAGTTTCCATCGTGGTAAAAAGTATCTAGAAGTTTGATGGTGGATTGTACATACCATTCGACCGCGCATCTGCTCACTACTCCACTCGACCTCTCGTCCACTACGGATCACTTCCTTCACCCACAAGAAGACTCCAGATGACAAACACATAGCCAGGGGTATCAAGCCCTTTAGCGCGCCCCCGAACAATTTCCCCACAAGAACTGTCGCGGCAAAAATGGCAGCGGAGAGGATAAGGCCTCGCTTCTCCAGGGCCGCAAACATCGGCTCATAGCTGACGCTCGGGGTCGGGTGGAACAGTATATTCGTCTTCTCCCCATGAATTGGGACGTCAGAGGTCGTGCCTTCCTCGACAGGATCGGGAGGAGCTGTGACATCTTGGTTGTACTTGTATTCCTTTTGCGATTGGTAGGGATCGGTTTTGATGGGCGTGTCTTTGTCGAGGTTGGCGTTGGGGACTGAAAGGACAGGGTTGTCGACCTGCTTCATCATGGACTTGCTGACGTCCTCGATGACTACTTCTTTGCCGGTCGTCGGGTCAGTGACTGTCTCCTGAGTCCCCTCGACGCCTGCCTTTTGCTCCCTGTGAGGCACTGCATCCCCGCTTGCTGTTGTTGACCTAACGTCGAGACTCAAAGTCAGTGCAGTTCAGCTAGAGAGGAGTGTGAACTGCCGTCTTACTTCGCCTTTGCCGCATTCTGCTCGTCCAACTTGCGATCGCGAGACGGCTTGTCCCTATCCAGATTCTCGAGGAATTTCCTCACGGTCGGCACGGGATTGGCTCCAGAATAATGGCCGCCCGGCGCATGCTGCTGCTGTTCCGCCATACTACCAGACACTCCGCGGGGTCGGGCGCGATATCAATCGCAAGAAGCGAGTAGTAGTCGGCTTGAATTCAATGACAGCAGAGTGAGTGGAGAAACGGTGTGGGCCACTTTCAAGCAGGCAAGCAAACAGGCAAGAAATTGGGGCTACACAGTTTGCAGCTGCCCTGGTCAGTGACACCACAAAGCAGGGAAGGCGCGCGCTGAAGCGTGAAAGGGCGATGGGAACGTGACGTCATTGCACTTTCCTTCTCACAGCCTCCCGAGTCTTGGTGGTCTCCACCGGCGTGCAACGCGTCGTATTCTGACGCCAGCCACGCCATACCGGTGGTGCCGGCGCCGGCGACCTTCACGGTGGCTTGTTTAGTGCGTCTAGAAGTATCTTGGTGATGGTCATGGCGAAAAGGATCGGATTCGTGAAGAGAGCGACGTCACGTCACAAAGGGACCATCGCAAAGGCCTCCCGCCGACATTGGCCAATCAGACGCCAGTAATGGTAGCCCTGCCGATGATCAGTGTGGGACTGCCCCGCAATGTATGCCATTATGCCATCTCGTCCATCTTGACCACCCTCAGCGCGACTCGAATCCAGTTTTGACGTGTCGTCTCGTTATCCCCACCATGTCGGGGTGGTTCACTCTCTTCACAAACGCCCGCTACATCCTCGATGGCGACATCGTCGAAGACCACCTCGTCATCTCTGACGAATCCGGTCTCATCTTGAAGCGGGAAGGCTATATTGGCGGCGAGGCTGTCGATTTAGACGGCAATATAATAGCGCCGGGCTTCTTGGAGTTGCATACCAATGGCGCCAATGCCTTCCACTTTACGCATTTCGAGGACGCGAAGAGCTATGCCGGGAAAGTAGATGGCATTGCGAGATACTATGCTACCCAGGGTGTTACCGGCTTTTGGGCTACTCTAGCGACCGTGAAGACCGACGAGTTTCAAAAGGTAGAACGCCTATTCCGGATAGAGGTTTGGGGCTAAACATGGTGTTAGATCCTCCCATCCCTAGCACCCCGCGACATCCCCAACTCGGCTTCTCTCCTTGGCGCCCACACAGAGGGGCCCTACCTGCACCCTGACAAGAAAGGCGCCCACAACTCCGCTTTATTCCAACCCTGTTCTAGCTCTCCATCCACCATCTACGGAAACTCTAACCTCTCCTCCGTCAAACTAGTAACCGTTGCCCCCGAACTTCCCGACTCAGCATCCCTCATCAAAACCCTTGCAGCATCAGGCATCCGCGTATCCCTCGGCCACTCTACCGCTTCCTATACCGATGGGGTCATAGGCTTAAAAGCAGGCGCGACATGTTTGACGCATACGTTGAATGCCATGCCGCCGCTCACCTCACGCATTCCTGGTCTTGCGGGCCTGATTTCGCTCCCACAAGCAGGTGATCCCCCATCACCGTACTATACAATCATTCCAGATGGCGAGCATCTCCATCCTGCTACAGTCTCACTCCTCCACCGCACCAACCCGCAGCGTTCAATCTTGATCACGGATTCCATTGAACTGGCCTCTCTCCCTGATGGAACGTACCCAGGGCATATGCAAATTCCCTTTGACCAAACCAAGTCTGGGACCAGAGCGACCATTGCGGGCACTGACACACTTATCGGCGGATGCATACCGCTACAACAGGGCGTGAGAAACCTGATGGAGTGGAGTGGGTGTGGGATTGCAGAAGCAGTAGGGAGCGTGACGCAGAATGTAGCGGCATTCATGGGGATCGATGGCGTTGGTGGAAGAGGTGTATTGAAAGAGGGACGGAGAGCAGATCTGTGTGTGCTGAGTGAGGTCGGGGAGGTGCTGCAGACGTGGGTTGCCGGCGTCAAAGTCTGGGACAAAGAAGAGGAATTGGAGAAAAGAGATGATGATGGAGATGCTAGAGGGTGAAGAAGGTAATTTAATTGTAATAATTTTTAATCAATATGCGGATCGCTTTTTGACCGTTTCGGGGTTTGTCGTCGTGCTGTGTATGTATGCATGTAGTGCCTTCCCAACGATATACAAGAAAGATCGACTCTCGCAAAGGACCAGGATGTCCACACAAAGGAATTCTATTATCCGGAACGATGCCGTGGAAAAAGAAGTAAGTATCAAGATAGCTAGCTAGCTGTATAAGGTAGATAACAAAGCGTTCGTTTTAGGTAATTGATAGGAGCCACAGCGACAGAAGTCGCATTCCACGAGCAAGCAAGCCACTCGTTATAACTCCCCTAGCATTATCCCAAGGTATTTCATTGCGACCAATCAACAAACAAGTCCTTAATTAAACAAACACCTACCTAAACAGACCGCCTAACTAACCTCCCCTCCCTCCCTGAATAAATAAAAAAGAACAAACTCCGCAACATTCGCACCTTCATTCAACCTTCCTTCCCATCCTAACAACTAACAACTACCACGACTAACTAAACAAAAAAAGCACATCAAAAAAAAATTACAAAAAATCAAATTGACTCAGCCGAGGTTTGAACTCGGGACCTTCAGTGACCTAACCCCAGAAGAAGTGTTAGACTGACGTGATAACCAACTACACCACCGAGCCCGGTCGCGATCCAATTGTATTGAACCATGACATAATTCACGGATGATAAATACTTATACAGCGATATTATAATCAAGTCCCGTATATGCGAGAATCTTGGTGCACGGTTAGGGAGAATGGTATAGTGAAGAGTCAGAGTAAGGAAATTCGATGTTAGTGGGTGGGTGTGGGCCCACCACGCACGATTTTTTTTATTGCTCTTGTTAGCTTGTCTAGGTACGTAAGCGAATGGAAGATAAGAAGGAAGGGAGAGAGAGAGAGAGGAATGAAGAAGGATTATAATATGTACTATCTGCGAGGAAGGAAGATTAGAGAAATAGATTGAATAGACAATTTCTACATATGCATTCATGCGATTAAACAATAGATCGATAGACAGCTAAGCACCCGCTTACTAACAACAAAAACCGAATGGATAATATAAAATGTCATGATTATAATATGTAATACTCCTACCTACGACCTCCTACCTCCCTACTACCTACTACCTACCCATACCTTTCTACACAGCATTCAAATTGGACACGAGAGATTTGCAAGAAAAGAGAAAGAAAAAGAAAAAATAGAAAGAAAAAGAGAAATAGGAAAAAAGCCATCAAAGAACACCCACAGAGATCCGATCAAATCCGATCAAACCAAGGCTCTAGGCTCCATGGGGGTGGTGGTAGGTCTAGGGGGAATAAAAGCGACCAAAAACCAACGGGGGGGAAGGAAGGAAGCAAGGAAGGAAGGGGAATACAAAACCCACAGACCAAGAAAACAGGAGGAGGGGGAAAAGAATAATACCCATCAAGCAATCCCAACAATCCCCCATATTCGCAGAAGAATCGAAGAAGTGAAGAAGAAGCCCCCTAGATACCCCCATCCCATCAAAAAAAAAAAACGCCATCTCTTCAACGCAATGGTATGCGCGAGTTTACCTTGAACCCAGGGTAAGTAACGATATGAAAACCCTCCCGCCTCCCCAAACCATAAATCCTGGTTATCCATGGGGAAGAAAAACGCCGTTTGATGCTGGATATCCTCAATCATACACTGTCTCCCCCTCGCACTCCACCCAGCCTGAAATACAGGCGTAACAACACCAAACCTCGCCTTGAAGCGCTCGCTCCGCATATACTCCGATTCGTATATTCCCCCCACTGTCACCGTCAATCCCTTGTAGCCACGCTCGGCGTCGGTGGACTCCCCGCCTTGCCCAACGACAGTTTGATTTTCTTCGCCTTGGGGGCGTCCGTCTCGATAGAATCGCCCTCGCGGTCGCGCTTGCCCGTCTCGGACCTTTCCTTTTCCACGCCGTCGTGCGTGCGCCGGTCCGCGCTGCTGCTGGTCTTGAGCTTGACTTTGATGGGCCCGCCGTCCTTGGCGCCTTTCTCGCGGTCCGCCTTCTTAACGTACGAACTCTTCTTCTTCTTCTTGCGCTCGGGGGTGTCGTTTTCGGCTTCGTCGTCTTCGTCGTTGCCGAGTCGTTTCACGGGGCTGACGCCCTTGCCCTTGATTTTTGCCACCGCGGCGTCGCCTTGCGAGCCCGGTGCCGGTGTGCCCATGCGGCTGCCTAGCGGCGTGTTGGCCACGCCGCTGCCGTTGCCGTTCTGTCCTGATATCTTCGCCATGGCGTTCCGCGAGCTCTGGCGGCCACTAATGCCCAGACACTTCTCCAGATGTTGCGCGAATCGTGTGATAAGCAAACTACGCTTGCAGCTCGGACATGTGTGCCACGGGATGTACGACGCCGGCTTCCCACCCGTGTTGAGCTTGATCTCCTTGCCCTGTGTGTCTCCGCCCGCCATGTCTGTGTCTTGTGACCCCGGCGTGCCCACGCTCTCCTTTTCCGCGTTCTTCTGCTGCTGCTTCATCAGCTCGCGCTCCTTCTTGCTCTTCGCCATGTCGGTCGGGAACGGGTTGCCGTATACGTCGTGGCCCTGTCGTTGGACCCACGGGTACAGCATGCAGTATTCTTTGGTGAGGTCGGGGTTCTGCATGCCCCGGCCCATGATGGGGTGCATCAGGCGTGGCAGCTTGCAGTGCGGGCAGATGATCTCGGGCGTCGTCTTGAGCGGGTTGCCCTTCAGGAACACGCGCCCGTTCTCGTACTTGGCGGCGGCGGTGTCGGCGGCCGGGACCGAGGGCTGGCTGTTGCTCGCGTTCTTCTGCGACTGTGGCTCGAGGTTGGCGAGGGCGAGCGACTCGGCCTGTGTCGCGGCCGACTGCATGCGCAGCAGCTTCTCGTTGCGGTGGCATGACAGCGCGGTGCTATATATTATGCTCTGTAAGCAGTCGTTGATGATGTCTCCGGTCTTTTGCGCGCACTTGTGGTTAGCAATGGCTCCGAAGCTCGTCTGGGGGGTTCCGCAGGCTTACCAGGTCGGCCAGCGCACCGGGAGACAGCGTAAACTCGGCGCCCTCCCCGCTGGCTTGACTCTCCGCCGGTCGGTCCTCAGACATGTTGCTGAGCCGCGGCGGTCTGTCGTCTGCCTACCCTGGGCTATGCGATGTTGAGCGGCTGTTCCTGAAACGTTGCGAGGAGGAGGGAGTCCGGAGATAAATGCTAGCGTGAGCCACCGGGATCTCGTGTCTCGTAGGGCTGACCAATGGCGGACCCGCTTTTTACCATTATTCATTTACCATCAGTGTCTGAGTGTTCGCCATGACTCTCTGCACGGTGTGGTGAATTCCTATATTGCTTCTACTGCTGCTATGCGTTCCTCACACCACGTCCCAAGTCGCCAGCCGCCCGATAGTCCGCCCAGCCTCCCTCACAACACAAATGCGCTCCTCCTTCCCCAACGCCTTCCCACCCTCCCCATGCCCCCTAAACACTCTGTGCACCACAATATTCGCCACAGCCGTCGGCATACCCTCTGCCAGATTGTAGTTCCCCGTGGTGACAAACCCAATCAGATCCTCCTCGTCCGGCACCAAAGGGTAGTCCTCCTCTCCAGCCCTGGGCACTCCGTCGTTTGCTTGCGGAGGCGCCAAAAGACTCTGCGCAAGTCTCTCGTGACGAACACGTTTGGGCGGATCCACGTCGCGAGGGAGTTGGGCTTTCTTGGGTGCACGCTTTGTCTTTGTCGAAGAGCGCTGTGGAGGAAGTAGGGACAGCCACTTGCTTCGGAGCTCTGCGTCGTTCGTTGGTAGCCGATATATGCGCGCGCAATTCGTAGGCGTGCCGCGCTGAGACATGGTGATTTTGACGGTGAAAACATACGGCGCGGAGCTGATACCAGCCAAGGAACGACCAGCTACCAAATCGATAGCATCTTGGGTCGAAAGCTGTCGAAAGGGAGTACGTGGAGCATCTTCCTTGTCTTTCACTGCATCTCCGTTGACTGAAGGCAGAAGCCTCTCCCAATCACAAGCCCACGGATCACCTACCTCTCCCTTCCTGTCATTGCCCAGGTCGATCGTAGACCATTCAATCCTCTTCCCTTTTGGCCGTTTCTTCCAATCATGTTCTCTCGCCGCACGTTCCTGTAGTTCCCAGCCCCATCCCGCGTCAGTGCCCGGGTGATCAAAGGGGAAGCTCGGACTCGATCGCTCAAAGTCCACCTGCCGTCTCTCCTTCAATCCGCCAAAGCGGGGATTGCCGCCAGTGGAGACGGGATATCGCATGATGCCTCGCCAAACAGGCGGTACGCACTTCCAAGGAAGCAGAACTGTCCATGACTTGCTCTTTCTAGAGACGTACACCAGCACGGGGATTTGGGGATCAGTAGATCGTGGATCTGGGTTCCCGCCCGTCGTGCAGGCAGATTTTCGACGATTGATAGATTTTTGAGAGGGAAGCGATCGTGCTGAAGCAAGTCTCAAATCACGGGTGAATATGGCGGGTGGTCCTTGAGTGGTGTCGGCGTGCCAGTCTACCAGTGTGTCCGTCAACGCAGCCTGTGACTCGGCGTCATGGGAAAGGGGCGTGGTAGTGGGCGGATCTTGAAGGCGAGGGTCGGAAACTGTAAAAGCCATGAGAGCTCCAGACGGCAATACTCCAGGGTCTGTTATAGTACATAGCGATCGCCAAAGTGCTTCAGGCGCATTCGAAGCTACATCAGAGCCATCGCTTGGAGAGAGGATCGAGATGAGGGCCTCTGCTGCTGCAGGCCCCATGATCTCGATCGATCCAATCTCGAAGCGGAGGTCCTCCACCGTGATGGCTGGCTTCTGCACCTTCGATACCCTAATCACCTCGTTCCACAGCTGCAGAAACGCGCTCGGATGGACCCGAACGAACACCTTCCTTTTGATACTCCCTGCGTCCGGAGCACTCCATATGACGGTGACATGAGCAATCGGCTTATGTGGCTTCCCTTCTCGCTCGTAGATCCAACCTGCCCATACGCGTGTCCCATTTCTCCATTTCTTGCCCCTGCCTCTGTCCTGCCAGGGATCCTCCTCGTCCTCATCGGCGAAGTGCAGCGCTTTCAACATGCCGCTGATACTAGCCTCAACACCCTCGAGGCCTATGGTAGACATATAGCTCATGTCCCAAGCGAGGGCACCTCTCAGTGCAGCAGCTCGGTGCGTAAGCCGATATGCCTTGACATTCGGCGCCAGTGGTATCGCAAACCGCCATAGAGGTTCTTTTGGAGGTGTCATGAAAGCGCGTTTCGAGTGCCATACATGTGTCGGCAACCAAGTCTTGTTGATCTGGCGTCGTCGAAATCGCGATGGGGGCATCTCAGGCTTCGCCAAAGCTGGAAACCTCGGACGCTTTATCTTTGTCTGTTCATTTATCTCTACACCCTCCATAGGCTCCACAGTCACATCGACATCCATCTTGGCCTCCCTCCTCTTCGCCCTCCTCTCCCAAGCCTCCCTACTCTTCTCAATCCCATCTTTCCGCAGCCACTTCTTCTTCCCCTTGCCAATTCCACTCCCACTCTTCCCCTTACTAATCGGCGTATTGTCTTCTCTTACTTCCTTCCTCGCCTGCACCCTCAGCCGCTTGGGAACGCGCTGCGGATTATGACTCGCCGTTCTCCTCCGCAGCTCCCGCGGCACAT